TCTGAAACCGTAGCTCTCCACAGATATACGCCTGGAAGAAAAAGATAGCTAACGGAACGAGGACGGCCTTACAGAAATATACCACTAGAATGATTGACAGTTAGGAGGACCACTGATTGAGATGATCCACCCGGAAATAAACAATCTTCCTCTATTCCTTTAAACTAATGTAAAGCAGAGAGCCACTCATGTTACCGCTCAGCTCCCTGTTTTAAAGCTTTAACTGTGTTTCACTGAAACGCATCATAGCAGAAAAACATTGTTCAGTTTTTGAATGTTTAGAACGGCTCTGGAGGTCACGTACGAACAAAACTCGGCTTAAAGGAAAAACAATGAGCCGGACCAACAGAAACCTTTAAAAACTAAATCTTTCAAACATGTTTGCTTCACGGTTGGCCTAAGGGCAAAATAAGGAAGCAGAACCAACATCTAATTCACATATTAGCCTCAAACTATTTATTCCTAAACAAGAAATTTCTCTAAACTTTCAAAAAAGCCTTAATTTGGCACCTTATAGAAAATAGTCTAGACTTTAACAAAGGAAATATTAATTAGAAATGTTATTTCCATTCAGGTTTAAAAAGAGGAAAAGATGTCTGAGTGGAATCACTGTTTTCCAGCTGGTTCCTGTTCTGCACAACATGAGCATTAAACAGATATCAGAACATCAGCGTCTCTACATGCTGTGGAACATCATTACACGCTCTGCTGTAAACACAGAACAACGACCTTTGACCTGATCAGCCTCTGAGGGCCTGTAGAGGTAAACGTCTGTTAGAACCAGACCCGGTTTCACACCATGAAAACTAAAACGCTGCCAAGACAGAAAGCCGCGTGTTCGTTAGCAGAGCCTAGTGCGGCCTCAGCCAGGAAGCGTTGCTGCGAGCATCAGTGTTTGACTCAGGAGACGACAGATTGGATCAGAGTCTGGAGATTATGCAGCATAGATGTACAGTAGGACTGGATGATATGAAGAACATCTAATATTGTGATATATCTGAGCTATAACATGATATATATCACCATATGTTTAAATTAACTTCAAAAACAATAGAGAGCATAAAACTGCACTGATATAATGATTCAAGCTTTGGTTTCAAATTCAATTTAATTTCAACCAGATCAAAGCTTTTCTAACAATAAAGTCTGAGTCACATGATGTCTTTGGGTGTCGGTATTTTAACAAGATCCCAGCAACCAAACAGGAAACGAAGCAAAAACAACCAATACTAAATAAAATGCTAAATAAAAAAGGCTCTTTTGTGCAGAATTTAAACAAATGCGGAATGAAAAAAGAAACTGACCTAAAATTACAAAATCAAAAGTGGAAATACTGTCTAAAATTCCCAGCAGGTAAAGATTAGTTTGAAGATGCTCTGATAATGCTCTAATTGTTAAAGTTATAAAATAGATAAAAGTTCTGAAACGCCTTTTGTTCGACATCCTCTGCGTTAAATCCAAACCGCTGCCGTGTATCGCTTAGCTGAAACACCTGCTGCCGCCATGCTTAGTTCACCAGTTGCCGTAGTGTGCGAGAAAATAATCCTGTTTGAAGGAGGGGTTTATGATGCATTCAAGGTGTGTGGGAAAAATAAAACTCTCAGTGAAATAGATGCAGACGGCTTCATGTCGTCATGCTAATTTTGACTTGATGGTTGATGGATTCATTTTAACTATTGTTTAAATAGTTAAATGTACAGCGTGCAGCTTAGCGGATAGAGCTTCAACACGGTCAACAGATCCGTCCCCAATTATCTCAATGCATCAATGTTAAAGAGAGGAATATTAATAAGGAAGTGAGATGGTGACACGTTAAAAGAAGGACCGTAACCTTCTGAGGTTTAACCTCAGAGTTCTGAGACGAAGGGAATCATTTTTTAGTCAAATTTCTTTTTCCGTGACATTTTACAGACGGTTTGTTTCAGTTAGCCTCCACCCACACCACCATGATAACACAGAGATGAGTGCAGACGCTGCTCTACTCACACTTGGCCTTCTCCTCATCGCGTCCTCTGGTCAGCAGCACCAGACCCACCATCAGGTTGTTGAAGTGCAGACCTTTGGAGGAGCCTCCAAATGAGCTGTAGATCACCTAAATCAGACAGACGGGCAGAAAGGAAAAACAGTTTTACAAACTAAAACACCAACAAACGTCTTTATGATCTCATCTGCATAAAACAAATAAACTAAAAATAAGAATAAATGTTTCCCTTCTTTCTAAGCTGTTCAGGTTTTATTAGATAGGAACAAAGACTTCAATAAAAACTGTTTTGTTCAAAGAAATCTGTTGATTTATGGCGTATTTGTTCAAAGGCAAAGTATTTCCTGTCCTTCAAACCAATGTTTTCCTTTTGCTGAGGTCAGGGTGAAGTTCTCCTCAGGGTTGGTCTTCAGAAATGCTCCTAAACCGGGAATCTGGTGTCAGTCGGATGAAAAGATGTGAAACGTGACGCAGGGCTGATCAATCCCCACAGTTAGCTCAGACCAAACGAAAGTCTCCAGCCTTCACAGTAGGGTTGTCACGATACTAAACTTTTCAACTCGATACCGATACTAAGGAA